TGCCGTCATCCGTCTCATGTCCTATACTATCCAGTTATGTTTTCTCCGTCACAGAACCTCAGTATAAACCGAATTGCTGCTTACGTTATGACTTGATGACTTGCGTTTAATAGACTGTCCCAGTTTTTTTTTTTTCTTCTTCATATGCCACCAGTGTGAAATGAGATTCCAAAGGCAATTCTTCAGGGGCTGAACAAACTGACTATAGAAACAAAATGCTTTACAATTGATTTTTTTTTTCCTAATTGAGTGTTTTTCCGTCTGCTGAAATGATGACAGCCGTCTTGTTTTTGTGTCAGACACTTGACGTTTCCTACTCACGCCAACGTTCTGCTCGCTGCTCCTGGAAGGTTTTTTATTTCCCTGTTCAGCTTGGAAATTCATTCTTGTCCTCTGAGCCTGCCGTTCATTTGATCTAGGTTGGCGTTGGAGGTATTTCCGAATCAAAACTTGAAATGTTTGAAATGATTTTACGTAACAATACAAGATGTCATTTTTTACCACAAAGCAGTAGTTGACTCAAACACAGCTATCACCTCACTAATGTGAAAATGAATTTAAGAGAAGGGTCCAATAGCTCACATATTTCGTTTTGTTTCCTTTATGCTTGGAAATGTCTGACCTGATGTAAAGTTTCTGTCCTTTTAGAATTAAAGGGATGCATATTGTGCAAAGGTTGATTGGTGTTTTTATTATATTCTCATAATTAAAATGCATACAGTGAGTTATTGTATTTACTTGTCCATTTGGTATCTCGGAAGATGTTGATGTTTGTTTTAGTCCTCTTTTTAAGTCTGTTTGCCATGGTCCATAATATTTGAACAAAACAACAACAGCGTGAGCGTCCTTTTGGGCATAACCCAGTTGTCCACGTCTGTCGCCATGGTTACTCTGGCAGTACGAGCGTGGAAATCGAGGGTAACGCGGATATGACGCCATTGACTAGCGACTCCTCACTTCTGCCCACACATCCCGTTTCCTTGGTTAAATCGCAATTTTCTGACGATTTACAAATAATTAAAAAAATTGGAGATATTGTAAGTAATCTAATAAACAAAATCTATAACATTGGCCAAGTGGTTTTTGGATATTTTACTGCAAAAAATCCTACATATTGTAACCTGGTTCTGACTGACATATAAAAGGCCCAACCGAACCATTAATTTTGGTACTATTTAGTATAGAAGCTTGTTTCCACCATCGAATAAAAAATATAAAAGGTAATTGCGACTTTTTATCTCACAAATTCTGACTTTTTTTTCTCACGATTGCGAGTTTACTTCTCGCAATTCTGAGAAATAAAGTCAGAATTGCGTGATATAAAGTCGCAATTGCGTGTTATAAAGTCAGAATTGCGAGATATAAAGTCGCAATTGCATGTTATAAAGTCAGAAATGCATGATATAAAGTCAGAATTGTGAGATTTAAACTATTTTGAGGGGAAAAGTCTTTTTTCCCCTTAGAATTGTCTGATAAGTCGCAATTGCGAGTTTATATCTCACAATTCTGAGAAAAGATGTCAGAATTTCGACATATAAACTCGCAATTATGTGTTACAAAGTCAGAATTGCGAGATGTAAACTCGCAATTGTGGGAAAAAAAGTCCGAATTGTGAGATAAAAAGTCGCACTTCTGTTTTTTTTTTCCTTGCAATTCTGACTTTATAACACGCAATTGTGAGACAAAAAGTCGCAATTAATTTGTTCTTTTTTTTAATTCAGTGGTGGAAACAAGTTTTCATAATTTAGGACTGTGTAAAGATGAAATCTTGTTAACATGAATTTGTTTCCATTAGTTGTGCAAACTGAGCCAATCAGAATAGCTTGCCAAAGAGAGGAAGTTCTCTGCATTTTTTTGTGCGCTAATATGCATCAGATGGTCCGTGGGTGTGTCGGCTTATGCTGGGAATAGTTGTGCCCCACTTCCATATCAGTCATTGCAAATAGGGTGAAAATTAATAGATCATAATCTGTTAATAATGGGGGGAAAAAAAGAAATCCTAGAGGAAGTAAAACTAAAAATGCACCATATTTAAATACGTTGCTAATTCAATGTTTTGCATTGCCAGTACCTTTCCAATTGTGCAACACAGTTGCATGTGTAAAATAAAATTCAGAATTAAATATATAATAAAAGAAGATATATATTTGATAATAATAAAATATTAGGTTACACATATATATTATATATTTTTTATATAGTATAAACTATCCATTGATGTCAATGTTAACCTGGGTGTATGTGACCAAGAATGAAGAACATCTGAAACGTTTCAAGTTTCGTTAACTTATGTAACTTACATATTTCGTATACAAAAGGACATCCTGTTACTCAATTTGAATTTGTTTGCATTCGGTTGAATGATTCTGGTAGGCACTCTTCTCAAATACGGTGTGGGTTCAGTCAAAGTGTGTCACAATGTACAGGATTGCTTTTATTTCCTCCGTTGTGCCCATGTGCTCTAGGTGGAGTAGCTTTCACCTTATCCTGGCTTGAAATATAGTGGCAAGTAGCCTACACTAGTTCTCTATAATCTTTTTTTTAGAGGACCACTGTGAAATGTAAATGCTGAATGTTTTTTTAATGACGTAAAGCACTCCAAAACAACAGCGTATGAGTGCGTGCATTATTCCCATTGTGAGTATTTCTTTCACTTCCTCCTCACTCCTTCTATTGCCATCACCCACACACACACACACACACTCCCGGGGGCAGAGCAAACACTGGGACTTCCCCACACGCTACGTGCAAGCCAAGAACAGGTGAGGAACAGGTGTCTGAAGATGTCACACTTTAGAAAGGACAACAAAGTTTATTCTCTATCTCTCTCTCTCTCTCTCTCTCTCGCTCTCTCTCTCTCTCTCTCTCTCTCTCTCTCTCTCTCTCTCTCTCTCCTGTTAGGTCACAGCTGCTCATAAGATCACGTTGCTTGTGTTATCAAGTTGCCATTGCGTCAGTTGTGGCATGTCATGATGACTCATTGAAAGTGACTCAAACGTTACAGGCTGAAATCGTACTTTACTTGGACAAAGATTTGCCAGGTCCTCTGTAATTCACCTAATGATAGCAGGTGGTATTGGCAAACAACATATCAAGTGTAGTAGATATCGTATAGATAATTCCAGTAAAGGGCAGGAATGGTAGCCTTGCTAATCTAGAAGTACAGTTTGTTCAGAGCGTACAACACGTGCAGGACTTCAGCTCACTCTGTACTTTCTTTTTGACATGTTGCCAAGGGTTCTCACTAGCCTGACACAGCAATCTTGGCTCAACCAACGGTGTGAGTTTGGGGTGTGGCTATCTGTCTGCCTGACCAATGGCAGATGATTTTTGTCATTTCATTTGGTGCCGCAAAATTACTTTATCTGCAGTATTGTTAGAAATATTTTCACATTCAGTCAGGTGTGTTCAAACTTTTGACTGAAAAAATTGTAAACAAGGCGACTTACGTATACACTCAAATGCTGGAAATTTGTGGACACATTGCTGGAGAGCCTTTTGTGTAAATGCAAGATGGAAACAGAATGCAATTCCAATCTGAGTCTAAGGCCGTGTGTCCACCAAAGCGTTTTTCCATGCGCCTGGCGTACGTTTTCAATAATTTTCAATGGGAGTGCCGTGTTTTTTAAACGCCATGAGCGTAACGAGGCGCTGAGCATTTTTTTCACGCTGAAGCGCTGAGCGCTGGTCGCCGAGAGTTGAAAAATGTTCAACTTTGAGTAAAACGCAGCGCTCATCACTGTCACTTTTTACCCAGCCGTCCAATCACAGTGGAAGAGGGGCGGGACTAAACCACAGACCAACTGTCACAACATTCTTTCTATGTACAACGTCATCAACCAGCAGAGCTAATCGAATAAAATGGATGAAAAATACATTTTTAGTATGAAACAAATTATCTGTGAAATTAATTACAAGTAAACTGCGTATATTCTGTATCATAGCAACGAAACGTCTCAACGGAAAAAACGCTGCTCTGCCAAAACCTTCTCAAATAAGGGTCTTATCAAGCGAAACGATCAGTCATTTAAAAAAGTTTAAGTTTTATAAGCACAAATGCTCGCCTTGCTCTGTTCTGTGATGAGTGTTCGTTCAAAATATTTTTTCAAGTCATGACTCAAAGGGTCCTTGATAAGACCCTTATTCATCGTCTGGTGTCGTTTAAAGTCCTTTGAAACTGATCTGAAACTCTCATTTGGACCTTGAACCGTTTGGTTCCCATTGAAGTCCATTATATGGAGATAATCCAAAAATGTTTGCATCAAAAACCTTAATTTCTTTTCGACTGAAGAAAGAAAGACATGGACATCTTGGATGACATGAGGGTGAGTAAATTATCAGCAAAAGTTTTTTTTTAAAAGTGAACTACTTTAAGGGGCCGTTTACACAACACCATTTTTCTACTAAAAATACAAGTTTTTGAAAACAATACCACTATCCTCTTCATGTAAACTACAAAAATTTGAATTTGTGAAAACAATTATGTAATGCACATGCGAATTATGTATTAACTCCATAGGCATAGTGTTTCTTTACAAACTTAACAACAACCAACTGGCCTGGCCTGAATAATACAGCGTTTTTAGTCGTTTTCGTGGATCCATGTGAACAGGGTTCGATTTGACAACATTGTCGCCTGTATGTGAAAAACGCAAAGGAATAACTTTTCTGTTTTATCTCATCTTTGTCGTGTAAACATGCCCTATTGTGTCGTCTTTTATCAATCAAAATGCTAGAAAAACCAGGACTAAACGGGGTCTCGGTGTAGAAGAGTGTCTCGCCATCCCCCATCCCCAAAGATGCAAGGCGCTGAATGAAGCCTCTTGCAAGTGATAAACAGAAGCTGCCACACTCTAAACGTCCCTCACGCTGCCTCCTGTCCAGGCGTCAAGAGACAGATGGACCGGGAGGGTCCATGTGCCTCACACATTTCCATTTTTGACCGTGCCTGCAGCGGTCCTCCCAAAATAACCCCCATTCCTTACGACCTTATATGTCCAAGGCCTCAGTTAGATTACACTCTGGGGGAGAATCACGAATCCAGGCCACACAAGACTCGTCGTTGTCTCGTTGCTTTGTGGTTGTTGGCAGGCCTGTTAGTGTCTTCGGTCTTGCCATGCATCTCACAGAACTAGATCAGGAGTGTTTGCTACACCTTTTTTCGTACCTAGACAAGGACAGTCGTCGCAGCCTGTCCCTGACTTGCGTACGACTGAGACAGGTCTTCCTGGACCCGCAACTGTGGACGCTACTTCACTTCAGGTCTCCATGCGAGTTAAGGAGGGACAACTTTGTTCTGAGCTCTTCGCTAAGGTACCTGGCTGTACGCTGGCACTCGAGCAGGGTCAAGGTGTGCAACATCGAGGACTGGATGAAGACCACGTTCCAGAGAGACCTCTGCAGAAAGCACGAGAGCCTCGTCAGTGACTTCCTGGAGTGTGTTTGCCACATGTGAGTGTTTCTGTTTGTCTTGGCATCAACATTCATTTTGTCATTGGCTTGATCTCGGACAGGCAGATGTTGTACCCTGATATATTTAGACCACTGAAGTAACCGTTTACTCATCCTCGTGTTATTCTAAACATTGGAGATGCAGAGCTCGGTCAAGCTCCAAATGGCGCAAAACCACAATATTATTAACGTAAATGTTGTCCATACAAAAGCAAAATGGTCGATTTGTGTCATTTTAGTTGTTTTCGCTTAAATCGCATTTTCACGTGCATTTATTCAAACTTGTTGCATAAAGACATATGTTTTACATCAATGACTCCAAATCACATTTGATTTTTGTTTCATAGCCTATCATAGCTATATGCACAAGCGCAAATTAAATTGTCAGTAAAGTCAGCATAAAATCGAACCGGAATGTTGCGGTTTATTATGAATGATTTATCTGTGCGCACATTTTTAATCAAAATCATCCTCACAACATCATCACTTCTATCACTTTACATGAGATTGCAGAAATTAGCAAACTTGCGAGCCAATCTATTCCAGATGGACAAAATCAAGTTATTTTGTTTTGTTCCTTCAGACTTCATACTGCTTTTCTTGTATGGGATAAAAATCGCAAAATCTTGAAACTATTTCAAAACAAATCACAACGTTTATGAATTGATCTGGTTTCCGAAGGTGCTTAAATAAAGGCGCTGGCTTAAACAAATTCATTAAATCCATTGTAAATGGAAACAAAGACACCAACTGGAAAATTTCACGCATTGCTTGCAACAACTGGCCCATCACTCCACAGCTAGAGGCACACCGCAGGCCCTCTCAGTCAACATGGCGCTGTGGGACTGTCACTCAAAGTCTGGAAGAATACAACACAACACTGGCACACTTTCTTGTGGTTTGCAACAAATTGCTCATTCGCCAGGTTCTGTTATGGGTTGAAAAGTATAATATGAGTACAGAACGTTCAGAAACGTTTGTTTTTGAGGATCGCGGATACATTAGAACGAAGTGGAACAGACATCAATGGTGGAAAGCTTGAAATGACTTCAACATGAATGTTCCTTTTAGCCTCAAGCATGCACGTCATCACGGTCTTCCACCGATGGATGCGGCTTGCGTTCGAAGCGTGCTGAGGCTGGGAATGTAGTTTGCCTCAAGTTTTGAATGACACGAGGTCTGCGGTCTAGCATGCAGTGCACAGCTGAATAACCCTCTGGAGTTTTAAGGGCAGATCTGTACAGCCTCTTCCAGGCAGCCAATAATAACGGGAGACATGATGGAGCTCTGCGGTTTCTCCCGCTGCTGTTCTGCACTGTAACTCACTTACGAAAAAAAGAGAAAGAAACACTGCGATTTGGCAGAGCTCTTAAAAAAAAGGTTCTTCAGTAATTCTCTGCATCACCCTCAAAAAAAGAGCCAAACTTTGCCTTACTGATCTGAAGAATGTGTTATGAAACATCAAGAACTCTTTAATGTCTGAAGAACCATTTAGTCAACTCAAGGTGGTTGTTAAAGTCAGTTGAAACTGACTTTACTTCAGTGTTGTGACGGATTTCAAAGTGAAACTATAAATATTTGATTGAGGGTGGGGTTTTATTTTAGCGCTCCTCCTCTCCATCCCTTGCTCATAGCAGACTGACGGTTGGAGGGGAGTTTTTAACAAGAAACGTGAGGAAAAGCCATCAAACAAGAAAAGCCATTCCAGATTTGAAGCAAATATTCAGATTTTTTGCACTGGTTAAATTTTCAACACAAGACTTGTAATGTGCGCTAACAAAGTAAAGAGTCAATTTTGATTTCATGCCGACTTTAATTATTTAAATTTGTTATGTTACATTATAGGTTCCTTGGGTTAGTGTATTGGTTATGTTATTTAGTTATTCCTCAAGAATAAAATATTAAAACCTTTATTTTTAAAAATGAAAGACAAGTGTTCCATAGATTTATGGAACGACACATGATGAAATCAGTAGGGTTCTTGAGTTGGCTATACCAACACATTCTCATCCTTTGGCGTCATAGGTGACGCCATACGAGATTTCGTCGAAATACTATGCACGACACCCTTTAGCGTCAATATAACACGCACTGTTATGGGTAGGTTTAGGTTCCGGGGGAGGGTCTGCGTCTCATATTGATGCTAAAGGATGCCACTCAACTGTATGACGCCTTGGATTCTGTGTGCTATATTGACGCTAAAGGGTGCCATGTGCGTAGTATTTCGACGAAATGTCATATGGCATCACCTATGAGAACGGGCTCGCTATACCATATGGTTACTTTTTGATGATTAAGTTCTTGATGTTGATTATAAATTCTTTAGATCAGCATGTTACTTTCTGCTCTGTCTGAAGAATTAGAACCCAAGAACCAGATCATTCCAACACTTTTAGAAGAAATGGTTCTATTTAGAACCAGAAATGGTTCCATCCCCCGCTTCATATACGGAACTCCAAATATAGTTCTATATAGAAACATTTTTTTTTTGGTAAAAGGTTCTATTGGCCAAGTATGGAACCCCAGGGTTCTTTATAGAACCCAGAGGAACCCTTTTTTTAAGAGTGTATAGAACCTTTTAGGGGTTCCAAATACGTAGCGCTGATAGAACCTTTTCTTCTAAGAGTGAAGATTCTCTTATGACATCAGGGTACACAATGCTTCAAAGATCCAATGCAACTCAAGGTGGTTGTTGAGACCCCTAAAGAATCTTGAAAGGATTCTTTAGGGGTAAAAAAAAAAAAGTTACATTAGGGGTTCATCAGCATAATGATGGTTGTCCCTTGACCATATAAAAATGGAGCAACACATGATGAAATTGGAGAGAAGCAGAAAGAAGTCCCTCCCTTGTGTGCTCTCCTCTCATGATTTGCATTGGCAGGTGGAGCCTACAATCAGTTCTTTGTTGATGAAGGTGGAATGCACATGTGCGTCACAGTCACCGTGCACTGTGTGTGCACGTGTGTGAGACTCGCTCACTTTCCTACAAAGACACATACTGACTGACGCCATTGTGGCAATTTATTTCAGCTGCCGGAAATCTTTATAAAACAGTGCCTAGGGAAGAGGAAGTCTCAGATGGTGTCATTAAGTTCAAGTAGGGATCCCGTCCACTAAAATTCAGAACCGAATTCAGACATTTTCATGGCCAAAAATGCTAACACTAGAAGAATAGTTTAAACGATATAAGGGCTTAGACCTTTGGCTCCACAACAAATGATATCTTTTAGATATTGCACTTGATGGATAACACCATTTATCCAAATAGAAATAAAAAATGAGGAACGTAACTACATCTGACCACATCCATGTGCTGTGTGAGACTTTTTCTGTTGATGTTCTTGGCGCAGACCGATCATTATTACCTCTTCAGGGAAAAGAAGTCTCTAGACTCAGTCCTTTGGCCCTAGACACACCCTAGAGTGTCCCGAGAGAGACATTAGCCTATAAGAAGACTACTGTCACTGTGATGACTCTGCGTTCAAAGAAAAAGCATTATTGAATTCCTGGTAAATTACCATACGCGTACGTCCTACCACGTGTGGGATGTCTAAAGAGGCCACATCCTCATGGAGAAACCTTCACGCCCAGCCTCATTCTCAGAAGCAAAGTAAAATAAAAGTCTTTAGTTGAGTCTTTCTTAGTTTTTCATAACTACAAAAAAGCCTGTTTTAATGAAAATCTGTGCTTAAAAAAACCCAAAACAAACGAAACATCTGCATAAGAGAAAGGCGGAGCCATGAGAGGAAGGCGTGCTTATGTAACCGGAGATGATGCGACACATATATTTGGTGTGTTTACTTAATCTGGCCAGCTCTGAAAACTCTGAGCACAATGGCCGAAAGCTGCCCCAGCAGAAACCGTCAAACCAAGCGATTCTTGCGAGCCTCTCTCATCCTTCCTCTCCCTTTGATCCCTTTATCAGACCGTCTGTGTCACAGATGGCCGTCTGTGATAATGAAAGCAATGGCACGTGTAGCGTGAGATCTGCCCCATGGCCAGGGTTATTGGGACATAACACTTACAGGCGGCTGGAATGTGCCGGTCTCACATGTGGTTAAGTGGTAAGATTATGTAAGAGTTTATATAATCTGCATCAGTAAACGTGAATGACATCTCAAAGCTACAGCCATTAGCTCGCTCCATGTGAGCGTGTGTGTCTGTTGACCCAGTGTGAGTCCACCAGCAGGCTGCAGCAGAGGAGAAACACGGACACACAGAAGGGCCACTCTCCAGAAGCCGGTACAGATGCGGGCACGGGAAATGGCTCGGCTTTCAGCTGGTGCGATTTAGCGAGAGCACCAGCTGTGTTTATGTGGCAAAAATAGCCGATGCAGCAAACACTGACTTGGGGAATGGTTTGAGTGATGCTACAGGTTGGTATGGTATAATACCATGCAAATGCCTGGTGGGGCCACATCACTCAGTTTTGGGTTACAGTTTAACATGACACGTTTATTATACTGTCTAGCACTTCATGTGTCCCCCCGAGGAATAAAAAGCATTCGCAATGCAGAAAAACTGTGTTTTCCAGCCAGTTAATCTTTGGCGGCTGTTTACATTTGTGGAATTCATATCCCATTTCTCACTGTCTAATCACTTAAAGCCGTCTTTAAAAAAATGAAAATACTGTCAAGACATGCTGAAATTATTAATATGACACAATACTAAGAGGATCAACCAATAGCATGAGTTTGGGAGCGGGGCTCTCACTTTAATTGACCAGTCACATACAAGGGGAGTGTTTAGAAAAGCAGAAATTACACACTTCAGCTTTAATGGCCATTTGTTTGTTACTCGATAATTCACTATTCAAATCTATTTTTCAAGACAAACATGTATGCACTGCATGTCGCTCTTTTCTATTATTATCAAATTGTAAATGTGATGCGATCTGGGAAAACCCACCACAGGGTGAAAATTTGAAATTACAGGTTTTGAGACCATATTAAAGCTAAAATTTCCAAATCTGTTTTTATTTCTTTTATCGTTTGTCTGTAACAAAAGTTGTGGTTATCTGAAGTCGGGTGATCGCTATGATTTTCACAAACGGAATTTTGAGAAAAAAACGGTTTAATTAACGGTCACGTCCTGTTAGCGGGACGACATATCACATATTAGGTATCATTCAAAAGCTTACAAACTCAATTTATCCTGTGAAAACCGTTTTGAAATTGGACGATTAAGAGGTCTTTGAAAGGGATAGTTCACTGTGAAATTAATTTTTGATATGTTTTGGCTTACCTCAAGGGCATCCAAGACCTCCATTATATGACTGACAGACAAGAACGGTTTGACCAAAAAATATCAAAATTGAAAATACTGTGGAAACAAAGACACCTACATCTTGGATGCCCTTGAGGTAAGCTAAAACATATCAAAAATTAATTTCAAAGTGAACTATCCCTTTAAGTGAGCAGCTTCAGATTTTGTTGTTCTCTTGTGCTCCGCATCACACCACATGATAACGCTGGATAAAAACAAATTTAAAAACTGCATGCCATTGTAGTTTACAAAGGACTGGCGGGACCTTTATTCTTTTATGTGGTTTATTTTGATAGACAAAACTGTCTTCGTAGTGTTAAGAGAAGAAAAGCTAATGGGCGAAAAGCTTTTGTTCTTTTTTGCCCCTCTGAGCCGTGCTTGTTCTTAAAGAGAAAGACGTTTCAGCTGGCCAGTATAAATCGCTTTTTTTCTGCACTGAACTAGTGAATTTTCCCAAGATATATTCAGAGATGATAAACAAGATGTTACAGAATAACAATTTATTAAAAACCCAATTTTGACAAAAAAACTGACATTCGATCTGTTTTTTGACCATACCGACATCCGACGGGTTTTCCTAGATCGCATCACAAATGTGACTTGGCATATTTCTGTCATATAGCATGAGAAATTCTGCTTCTTGTTTCTTTAGGTGTCCGAATCTAGTCTCGCTGACTCTGTCTGGATGCGGACACATTACGGATCACAATGTCATCAACGTGCTACAAAGCTGCAAGAGGCTAGTTAGCCTTAGTCTAGAAAACTGTGCTCGGATGACCGACTCTGTCCTCCAGGCTGTGGTGGACCACGGTAAAAGTCTCACAGAGGTGAGGGTGGACTTCTGCCGGAACGTTACCCAGGCAGGGCTACAGGACGTTCGAGACAAGAGACCAGAAGTCCACCTGAGCGCATTACACAGTGCAGATATGATTCCAGACAGCAAGCCAGAGAAGAAAACACAGATCAGGAGAGCTCTACAGAAGTTCTTGATCTTCTCCTGACCGCCAGAAGCTACCTAAGACTTCATGTCAAATTGAGGTTCACAACATTGCTGTATTTTATTATTCCACTATTGCTACACTTGGGGTTTCTCTTGTAATTCCTTATTTTGCCATTTCAAATGTTTCTCTGACATACAGTCTTGAATTTTCTATGTTTATTAGATCAACATTCTCATTTCAAACTAATTTTTTGTACCTTTGCTGTCATGGTTTTTTTTTTTTTCATTTTGTTTGTTTGTCCATTTGGCTCCATGAGATGACTCCCCGGTCAAGTACACAGTACAAAGACTAAGTATTCAATATGCAAGGCAGTGGCCCAATCAACACATTTCAACCAGATCTTAGGTTTTGATTATAAAACATTTGCAGTATTTCTTAAAAACACGGCTTGTTTTTGCTTGCATAATCAAGGTTTGTTCTGGAACAAGTCATAGTTGGTTATCCTCATTGTGGGTTTTGGACTTCTTTCAATATGCAAGAACAATATTTGACTGAGCACAGGTTTACAGCCTTGCTGCATGACTTTTATTAAGCAATAAGGTGTGTGAGGCTGTATTATATTGTGAATATAGTCATATTGTGAATCATGTTCGGCACTAGTGCTATTTTCACAATACACAATGGCCTTGAATACCTCGTTGCTCCTATAAAACTTTTTCATTAAAGGAGTAGTTTGCTTTTAAAAAAACTTTTGCTGATAATTTACTCACCCCATGTCATCCAAGATGTCCATGTCCAATTAGAGTTTTTGATGAAAACCTTCCAGGATTTTTCTCCATATAATGGACTTCAATGGGAACCAAACGGTTCAAGGTCCAAATGAGAGTTTCAGTGCAAACTGCAGACTATTCAACGATTCCAGACAATGAATAAGGGTCTTATCAAGTGAAACGATCGCTCATTTAATAAATAAATAACCAAGTCTAAGTTTTATAAGCACAAATGCTCACCTTGCTCTGTTCTGTGATGCGCATTAGTGACTCTTCTGTTCGAAATGAACAAATCTTTTTTCGTGTCATTTGGTTCATTCAACGAACGAAATGAATGAGTTGACTCCAGAAAAGATTTGTTCATTTTAATGAACAAGTTCGAACAGGAGAGTCACAAACGCGCATCACAGAACAGAGCAAGGCGAGCATTTGAGTTTATAAAACTTAGTTTTTTTTTTTTAAATGAGTGATCGTTTCGCTTGATAAGACCCTTGTTCATCGTCTGGAATCGTTTAAAGCCCTTTGAACAGTTTGCAGTTTGCACTGAAAGTGTCTTTTGGACCTTGAACCGTTTGGTTCCCATTGAAGTCCATTATATGGAGAAAATCCTGGAATGTTTTCATCAAAAACCTTCATTTCTTTTCGACTGAAGAAAGAATGACATGGATATCTTGGATGACATGGGGGTGAGTAAATTATCAGCAAAAGTTTTTTTTAAAAGTGAACTACTCCTTTAAGCAAATTCTTTCATCTTGTATAAGAAAACCATTCCAGTCCTGGTTGCTGATTGGTCAACACAGCGTTTCAGCCGTACTAAAACACGCAGTATATATGGCGAGACCAAACTTCATTTTACATACTGTATTTTCCAGCAGAATGATATAACAACGAATTTGCTTAGTTGCATTTTTTCCACTTTTTTATTATGTACTGCATAATTCCTATTCCTGTCTATGCACTTGGATGTAAGAACGGACCTGTTGACGTTTTTTTCTTCCCCCCTATCATGTCTGCCCTAACAGAGATTTATGACCTAATGCCTGCACAGAGTTATTTGAGGCCATGTTGGAAGTCTTCCAACATTGTGATTAGAAAGCTATTATGTAAGAGCCGTGGAGTGTGGAAGTAGTTTGGCCAGTGTCTGTGTTGTCCACGTGACCATACTATTTTGCATCGTAATTGCAGCAAAAATAATTGTTCTTGCCGCTTGGAGTTACAGAATTTGTTCTTACTCTCTCGTGCCTGTTTGACCTTTTTCAAGTGCATGCAATCCAGCAAACACAAGTACAGGTTCCTCAAACCCTCAGGGCATCATTAAAAGACTGTATGAAGAACAATCACACATTCTGTCCTTAGTCTGTAATATTATTGGAGATACATTTAGGTAAACAAAATCATTTCTAATGAGTCTTAACAAGTCCCTTGTTTTACAGCCAATGTTCTCCACAGGATATTCTCTGCAATGAAGAGTGAAATAATATTGGGATCATTTTTTCCTTCTCATTCTTGTTATCAGTATCTCTTTCCAACTCTCACTCTATGTTTTGTACTTGTCAAGTTACATAAACGTCTGAAGGAAAAAAAAATAAAGTCTGCTATTGTGTTTGTCCAATCAATACTTTACAATAATTCCCATGACCATAATCATTGGTGGAGGGTGACGACGAGGGCCTGTGAACTCACGGTTCACGCATAAAACTGTTGTCCCGGGCCTCGTGAAATCAAGCATAGTGATATTTCGTAAGACTTTGAGAGGTTAAATGAGCCACAGAACATGATCAGCATGCTGTGATTGCTTTAATCAGGTATTTCTTTGTTGTGGATGTCAATCCACTCCAAGTGGTTATGCAATCCAGTTAGCGTTTAATAATATCAAGGATCCAGCCAACAGATTTAGAAAGGCTGAAAACATTAGCCACTATTTATGGTCACGATCACGTGGAAGCAATTAGCAAGTGAAGCCAAGAAACTGTACCGTTAAAAGAAAAAAAGTTGTTATTGCCAGAGATTAGACCTTCTTTTTCTCAAAACTGAGAACTTAACACTCATGGGCAACTTTAAGGTTGGTGTTGATTTGCTGTAGACAGCAATGTGTGTGATTTGCCTCAGGCTACACGGATTTGTGTTGCTGAGGTTACAGTTGTAAAGCATCTCCTCTCTGAAGTCTACCATGGGCGAACACAATCTCTGAGGAGATCATAAAACGTGCTTCACATCACAAGGACTATTTGTTCTGTTTAATTAATTTTTCAGTATCAGAAACCTTATGTAAAGGTTATGTTAAACATTAGAAATGGCAGACATAAAGTTTATGTATTCATTCGTATATTTACTGAGACAACAAGGACCTTCAAAATGTAGCTGTGTCAATAAGTTGCAGTCTTTTGCAACATTCTTATGAATGCCTGGCTGACATTGTGAGCCTGAAAGTTGCTGTATCAATGTTGTTGTTTATTACGCCATCCTTACAGAACGAATGCCTGAAGTAAAGTTGTTTTTATAAGATCGAAAGGTTTGTCTTAATATGCTGCCATCTCTAACAACATTCTTACAAACACATGCAGTTCGGAAGTTTGTAACATTGCGGTCTTTATACACTGCCTTTTTTATGAACTTCAAGAAAATAGCTGACAAAAATATCACAGTATGCTTCCAACTCCAACAACTTTGTTTGAATGGAATCTTTAATGCGTTTAATAATGCGTGATGAAGTTCAAAAGACCATACATTTTCTCTGAAAGGAGTAGTTCACTTTTAAAAAAAACTTTTGCTGATGTCTTTCTTTCTTCAGTCAAAAAGAAATTAAGGTTTTTGATGAAAACATTCCAGCATTTTTCTCCATATAATGGACTTGAATGGGAACCAAATGGTTCAAGGTCCAAAAGACCGGCAAGTCGAGCATTTGAGCTTGTAAAACTTAAACTTTGTTTTTTTTTTTTTATGAGCGATCGTTTCACTTGATAAGACCCTTATTCAACGTCTGGAATTGTTTAAAGCCCTTTCAACAGTTTGCAGTTTGCACTGAAACTGTCTTTAGGACCTTGAACCGTTTGGTTCCCATTGAAGTCCATTATGCAGAAAAATCCTGGAATGTTTTCATTAAAAGCCTTAATTTCTTTTCGACTAAAGAAAGAATGACATGGACATCTTGGATGGCATGGGGGTGAGTCAATTATCAGCAAAAGTTTTTTTTTTAAAAAGTGAACTACTCCTTTAAGGCTTTCGTCAGGCATTCGTATAAAGGTAAGAGAAAATAAGGTATTGAGACACTAACGTTTCAGTCGGAAGGTTGTCTCAAGCCGTACAACCTTTTTACGAACGTAGTACCGAAATCTCAATAAGCTTGAATCTCTAATGAATTCTTATAGGAAATGCTCAATAAATCCGAAGAATTTTCATTTTGCACGATACAGCACAATGCAAGACTTCTTTGTGCAATTATAAGCTTAAAAGTTACTTTAAATAGTTATGGACGCACCTAATTATTTGTTTGTCAAAATACAAAGGACTTTCATCAAACAAAAGCCCAAACCACAATTTGTTCTCAGATCAAGAACTTCAATACCTTACAGCAATTTAGATCAACTTCAAAGCAAATTGCTTAAAATTCCCCACAGTCGTTTTTTCCAGATGCAGTCGTTCATGTGGGATTATGAGGTTGAGCCAAATCCTTAAAACCATATAAGAGCCAGTTTCCTTCAGGCTGCATATAGAAATGAATTATTAGTCTGCATAAGAGTCTCCACGTGTCACTTATAAATGTCTAATCCAGTTCTTGACCAACAGCTGTGTATATGTCAGCCAGAAAAGTATGCATTTGATGGGAAACCAGAAAGACTGGTCACTTTAAGAGGTGACACTGACGCATTTATGCAATGTCTCGGGTGAATTCCATTCCCTCACGTTTTTGGCCTGTGATGTGCGTGTGTGTGTGTGTCTATATAGACCCAAAGCACCACTCAGACATCTCCTCATTTCTGAAAGAACATCACATGTTGTTCATATGCCATATAAACCGAACGTACTGTTATGAGGAAAATGATAAAACAAGCTGCATAGGGTAATAAATTCTACTGGATGTTTATTGGTTTGACTGAAGCACATGGGCAAGTTGTGACATAAGATCTGCACATACATGTACAACATGCAGTCTCTTTCCTTCTCTTTCTCTCCCTTTGGGTGGAGGAATGCAAAGGCAGCTCAGGCCACGAGCTGTTTCGTAAAAACTGTGGGAGGGAAGTCACGTTGTAGTGAAATTCACAGGCTGAGCGGAAAAGAAGGGGAGGGGGAGTTGATTTATGTCATCCAGGAATGGTTGCTGGTGCGCTGGCTTCTCTTTTAGACCCCAGCACACATCCATAGCCACTCCTACTGCATCTCTCATGTCCTGCTATGCACATTACAAGGGATTTAGCTGGTCTTTTGGGATTCATAAAATGTGGGATGTATTTTTAGCTGCTGTGCCTGAAGGATCTTCATTAAAAGGGTTATATTGTACTTTTTATTTATTTTATTTTATTTCTTTATACCGGCGATTCACCTGCGCAATGATATTTACCATTGTTCGGCAAATTTTCATCCACTCATTTCAATAGGAATCCACGAAAATTGGGATTTTGCTTGAGTGCTAAAGATTTTCCACACAGAAGTTGACAGAAAGCTGCTTGTTTCGAAAGTAACTTATGTGTGAGCTATACATACACAAATGAGAATATAGGTATTTTTGCACAATTTCCGCCAAACATTTAGTCGTTTCTTTATTCAAAAGCAGTCACAGATTAAGAATTAAACACCGCCTTAATTGGCATGTGAAATGAAAAGCAACATAGGCGTACAGGGTCAGATATGTAAACCCTAACGGTCAAAATAATTAATTGGTTTGAGTAGGACAAACTTAAATTCAACGAATTAGTTCAGTCAAATTAATTTCGCACTTTCTTTTTCTTTCAAGTTCACAGAACTGAC